GTTTAGGGTTTAGGGTTTAGGGTTTGTGTGTAGGAGGTTTCCGTGGATGCAGTGTTTATGCGTTGTTTAAACGATATTTGGCCGTTTGAGCATCCGCCTGAATACGACAGCAGATGGAGACCGTCGAGAATATATGAAGACAATAAAAACCTTTTATTTTAGTTTTTTTTTCTTTTTTTTTTCTTTTTCTTTTTCTTTTTGTTTTTCTTTCTCTTCTTTATCTCTTTTTCTCTTTTTTTCTTTTTTTTTTTGCTTTTTTTTTCTTTTTTTTTTGCTTTTTTTTGCTTTTTTTCTCTTTTTCTATTCGCCTGAATACGACAGCAGATGGAGACCTTCCAGGATATACAACGACAATAAAAACCTTTTGTTTTAGTTTTTTTTTTCTTTTTCTTTTTTCTTTTTCTTTTTCTTTCTCTTCTTTATCTCTTTTTTTCTTTTTTTCTTTTTTTTGCTTTTTTTTTCTTTTTTTTTGCTTTTTTTCTCTTTTTATATTCGCCTGAATACGACAGCAGATGGAGACCCTCCAGGATATATGAAGACAATAAAAACCTTTTATTTTAGTTTTTTTCTTTTTCTTTTTTCTTTTTTTCTTTTTCTTTTTCTTTCGTTTTTTCTTTTTTTCTTTTCTTTTTTTTTCTTTTTCTTTTTTTTTTCTCTTTTTTTTTCTTTTTGTCTTTGCTTTAGCCTTTACTCCTTATTGTTCACTCTCGGCTAGCTAGACAGCTAGCTAACTAGACAGCTAGCTGGGCAGCTAGCCAGCTAGCCAGCTAGCTAGCTAGCTAGCCAGTTGGCTAGCTAGCCAGTTAGCTAGCTACCCAGCTAGCCAGCCAGTTAGCTAGCTAGCTGGCTAGCTAGCCAGGTACTAACGGAAAATTATTGTTTTGTTGAGTACAAACATTTTGTCTTTTTGATTCATTTGACACAGCTTTCCTTCTCATGAACTAGCTAGCTAGCTAGCTAGCTAGCTAGCTAGCTAGCTAGCTATATAGGTACCTGGCTGGCTAGCTGGCTAGCTAGCGCGATAGGTAGCTACCCAGATAGCTACCTGGCGGGCAATCTAGCTGGCTAGCTAGCTGGCTAGCTAGCTAGCTAGCTGGCTAGCTGTTTGTTTGGATTACTCAGTAGTTAGGGAGCTAGCGATCTGAGGAGCTAGCTGGCTTCCTATTTGGATAGTTCCTTAGCTAGCTGGCTAGCCGCCTGGCTAGCTGTCTGGCCAGCTACCTGTATAGCTAGCTGCATAGCAAGGTCTGTAGCTAGCTGGATAGCTAGATGCATAGCTAGCTGGGCAGCTAGCTGTGTAGCTAGCCGTATAACTAGCTGGATAGCTAGCTAGATAGCTAGCTAGATAGCTAGCTAGATAGCTAGNGTGTAGCTAGCCGTATAACTAGCTGGATAGCTAGCTAGATAGCTAGCTAGATAGCTAGCTAGATAGCTAGCTAGATAGCTAGCTGGATAGCCAGCTGTGTAGCTAATTATTTTGTTTAAATGATGAAATAACTACAGAGAAATTTCTGTGCATTTATCGGCGCTGTTTTTTTTTTTCAGGAAGCTGAGGTGTATGTACACCTCAGGGGTAGTGTTTTTTCTTTTTTTTTTTTGTAAACTTAGATAAATTTGCGTTGTATATTATAAATATAACGAATTAAGGTGTATATAAAAACAAATATTGACGTGAGGTGTATGTTGATGTATTATATAGTTGGGGTGTATGTGCAGGTGATGGTGGTGCTGAGGTGTATAGGCAGCTCTATCATGGTGGTCGTTGTTTGTGCATAGAACGGGAGAAAAAGAAGAATAAAATAAGAAATAAATAAATAAAATAA